CAATGGGCTCCCCTGTCCGAGGTTGGCCAGTGCCGACCACCAGGACAGGGCTTCCTTCACTTGGTCCGAGATCGAAACCTGCCTATCTAGTTCCCATAGGAGAGCTCGGCGTTATAACAAGCGTTATACCGGGCGGCTGCGTAGTGCGGCCTGGGGAACCACCCTTCGAACCGAGGTCATCATTTCGATGATCCGTATTAGTTCACGGAGGGACACCGAGGGAACACTGACTAGGCATTTGGCTAGGCTGCTTAGCGCTAAGCAATACGCTTGAAATAGCTAAGCCAAGCTTACCTCTGTGTCAAAACTCCATGCCCAGGGACACCAACTGCGTGTTGGGACTTGTCGATTTACTAACGAGCCCAACTGGTGAAGTAAATCCCGTGTTAGCCAGACGCGTTTGGCTATTACCCCTTGCCCGGGTTGTAGGTAACCGGAAGCCTGGGTACGGATTGAGGTGTACCGACATCTGGTGAGGCAGCAGCACTACCTGTTTCATCACTCTGGTGAACACGTAGGGTGCTGTGCCTAACCCGAACGGGGGCACCCGAAATTTGAATACTTGGCCCAGCTGGGCGATTCGAAGGAGATAGCAACTCGCTGGGTGCATCGGTACGTGCAGGTAGGCCCCGCTTAAGTCTAGCGGGGCTAGCCAGTCAAAACGGTGGATGGAGAGAAGAACCATGAATGGTGTCTCCATGTGGAACCGATCGAGGAGCACGCACTGATTCAGTCTACCTAGGTCCAAAACTGGACGCCTGCCACTTGTAGATTCGGTACTATGAACACATTTGGGTAGAAGCCTGGCCTTAGTTCCGGACTGATGTACCCTGTGTATGGCGTCTTACCCCAGCAAACTGCTACTTCCTGTCTGGCAGTGCCCAACAGGGGAGACACTGACGGGGAGAAATGGAGATTTCAGCGGTATCCCGTAAACGGATGTCACCACCTGGGAAGGTCCAGGGGTCGGTCACCCGCCGTCTCCAAACCGGACTACACCGGCGCAATCTGTGTACGACAGGGATATGTGGCCATGTGTTCGGCAGTTGCGAGGGGGGTGCTCCCTTCCCCCATGAGGTGAGTTCCCCAAGGCCTGAAGTAGTCACTAAGTTGTGACCTGGCCATTCACCAAACACGTGCCTGTCCCCCCCCGGTTGCAGAGGTGAGCGTCAAACATGCCTCCCCTGCTGCCGGGTAGACGTCCGCCCAGGGAGGGTGAGGAGCCACCACCTGGCTCTTACCTCCCTGGGGGCATGCCACTACCCTCCCCTGCCATGGAAGGGTATAAACGCTTGCCTCCTGGCTGACTCTGGCTAGCGAACGACGCCCTAGGGCGTTGTGTTTTCTGTGCTTGGGGTGCCCTCCGTTTGCCCATGGCAGGACCAACTGGCCAGCGGATTCGATCTGAACCCTCTGGTTCATTGCACTCCGAAGCTCCGAGACTGTACCCACCATTCCTGAACAAAAGAGAGTGGAGGATGTCCAGTCTGCGTCACTGAGGTGGGGACGTACCCCGGTTCAGCTTGTCGGCGAAAACACGTGCGACTAAGGCCTCGTCTCGTAGCACGGTAGTGGCCCTGGCCAAGAGAGCCAGACGACACTAGAGGGTGTCGCATGTAGATGTGTGGTGGCCCACCAGTAAAAATGTCGCCTGATCTAGGAGGCTGGTGCATTCTGCCTCCAAGGTCTCCAAAGTGCTGGTCACGCATAATAATGTGCTCAAGCAACTCTGCCCTTAGGGCTGGATGGGTCGTCTTCAATTGGCAAAGACACCCATGGAACGCGGCTATCCCCCTTTGCCTGGTTTGCCAACTTCGTGGTACCAGGGTCTGGGGAAGGAGCCTTGGAATCCGGTTGGGGGCGTTT